TTTCGCCTCAGCCATGACCAGAGAGCGATGGGGGGGGGGGGGGGGGGGGGAGGGGTCTGATTTAGCATCTCAAAGCATATTTGCACAGGTTATTTTAATATTTTTTATATACTATTATATATTAATGTTTTGAATTAGCATTTCTTTTTTGGTGGGTTTTTTTGTTTTATTTATAATTTTTTGTATTTGAGATTTGTATTTATATTTAGCTTTAACTGATTTTTATTTCAGTTTTAGTTTAAAAAATGTCAGTACTTCAGATTAAACTTATTTATTCAGGGAGCATTTATAATTTTCTATCTAATAATTTTATTTTATTTTATTTAAGCTCTATTTCAATTAACAATAGTGATTTTAAATAGTTTTAGTTTTAGTTAAGTTAACAATAACAGCAATGATGTATTTACCTTTATCTGCATCAGAGCCTGTATTGTAGAGTTTGGGTGTTACTCCATGATGGATCTTGATGGTAAAAAGAGCTTGATGTCCTTCTGTGTCTAACTGCACTGAATCACAAGCACATACAAACTACATATCAAAATAAAGATGATCCAGTCCTGTGTTTAAATGTACATTTGGGATAAGTATTTTTTACAAGAATTACCCAGAAGCTGCATACCTGTGTCAGCTGTGCTGGGGTGGAACTGTGTGTTGGTATATGTGATAAACTGGAGCTCTCGATTCAGACTGGACAAAAGGGTGCTGCTCAGGGTCATGTGCATCTCGCCATCACCCCTGACCTTTACCCCCTCCACCTCTGCTGCTACATTAAATGTGCCCAGCGATGCTGAAAAGTTCAGCTACAGAGAAAGATGAAAAACATAGTCTTCAGGAAGCATCCACAACACAAAAGCACAGGAAATAGACATAAATTATTCATAATATCACTTACAGTATATACATCTCGGGGCAGCTCTTTTAAGGCCAAACCTGAAACACATTACAGCAATGTATTCAGTGCCGGATGTGACATAGGCAAAATAAGTTGTGGGGCTCCCTTTCCCTATGAATATATGATATTAACACCCCAAAACAGCAAACAAAAATAAATTGTAATCCAACGAAACCACTGCAGTGTTCACAAGAAGTACAAAGTACAAAGTAATTCTGCTTGCATTCAGTCATTTCAGATCAAATGTAGTTCTTCACTCATTTGAGAACAGAGAAAGACTGTTTAATTAAGTTGGCAATAACTGACTCCAGCATTGTCGCTGCATTACCATTATGCATAATTTTTCTAATAATTCAACAGCCCAGAGTCAATTATTGTTCACGCTTTATTTTAAGACATTTGTCACGTTTTGTCCTTTAAACACTCTTGTGTGTAAGGCTATTTTGTCTAATCCTAAGCCTAAATATAAGACATCATTTTAGAGCTAATAACAGAGGCTTGAGCAATTGATATACAGAATAGGCTAATGCAGTTATTAGAAATGTGTTTAGTATTAGTATTTATTCGTTTTTAGAACTTGTGTGAATTACCTGAGCCTGTGCATCTCTCAACAACAGTGTTTGGCTATTGCGTCTCTACTAATAGCAAAAATGAAAGTTTAACAGCTTCAAAAACAGCTACATTCAAAATAGCATGTAGCTTTCCAGCTTTGAAAATATGTTGATAAAGTTGCAGGGCAGCGTTAACAACAAGTTTCTGTGCGTGTGTGTCAGCACTGTAATAATTTGTTAATAACTGATATGCCTTTGATAATAAAATGTAATTTCATTGGGTAACAGTTTGACATTTTTATTCTTTTGTTTTTTATATTTATTATTACACACATTTCGCTGCAGTTTCCAGGAGAAATGAACACCAGTGGCAGTAAAATACCAACATTTGTTCCTTTTCACTCAAATAATGATTACGGGGGCAGACAATCAATAAATAAAGACTAATGTTTGTGCAGTTCCTTGCACAATGCTGATATTATTATGTAAACACTTTTACCATAGTGCATGATTTATAAACAATAAACTGTTGAATAAACCTGCATCTGCAATGGAGAAAACTGATATAGCTTATAGTGCCTCTTGTGGACATGTTGTCTGAAAAAGGCAGCAAAATGGACCCGGAGCAACGTATTTCAGGTTTTGCAGAAATGTAGCCACAGTAATGTATTTTCAATTAGCCTGGGTTGCAAAAAAAGTGTAGTATCTAGGGATATTATCAATATCATGGTATTGTGATGCAAAACTGTATCGATATCATCATGAAGATATGAAACAATAGGTCTTCCAGGCAAAAAGTGTAGTTTTTAAAATATATTTAAACTTCTTATTCTAACATAAAAGGTCTTTAAAGTTGTGTTTTGAGCCATTATGCTTTGGCCCAAAGAACGGCTCCATTTACAGTAAATAAATGCAGTGAACTCATTTATTGCATGTGCTGTGAGTTTAGTGCATGTTTGGGAACGCAACAGCCACCAGTTATGCTTTATTTTTGTGGCAGGTGATTACAGCATTTCACTACATTTGTAGTGAGACGTGTTCCTGTTTTCACTGAATCTGGAGTTTTCCTTCAAAATTAAAGCTCTACTGCCATTTCCGTCAAAATAAAAGCTTAAAAGTACAGTATGAATTGCTGACAGCTAGCAGTTTAAGTTAAGTCCAAATTCAAAATATCTGTTTCAAGTGTAGTAAAGCAAAAATAATATACCTATGAAATATTCATTTTCATTTATTTTACAATGCAATTATTTTACAATATTTGGATATTACTGTCATAGGAATAACAATAATATAAAATTGTTATTATTATTATTATTATATTCTAATTATATAATAATTATTAATCTAATTATTATATTCTAATTTGTTTGTCAAACTTCAAGTCAAATTTCCTCAGAGTTTATTTCAAATTTCTTTATTAGATTTTCTGCATGGAATATTCTCAAATGCATGGAATTCAACAGCTCAACAAATTACAACATTAATTTTATAAAATTGTTCTTCCATGTTATTAAACTTCCTCAGAGTTTGACTGTTTTGCTATTGCAGGGGATTTTAATATTTATATAGATAATGCAGAAATCAAACTACAAAATAAATTATAACTGTTTTAAACACTTTTGGCCTGATTCAGCATGTGCATGGACCCACACACAATCGTGGACACACTCTAGATTTACTCATCAGTAGAGGTCTAAACAATTTTTTATCCACTGTTATTAAGGATGTAGCACTATCTGATCACTTCTGTATTTTCTTTGATATATTGATCTCTGCTACCACAGAATCTAGATCTGTCTGTCAGAAAGAGATGCATTAATGAGAACACTAGTGTGTTATTTATGAAGGCTATATCTTTAACACCAAGCATTTCTGCAGACTCTGTTGATCTTCTCCTTGATTCCTTTAACTCAAAAGTTAAGAATGTCATTGATGATATTGATCCTGCGAAAGTCAGCAAGAAGACTGGCAGACAAAAAGCACCCTGGAGAAAATCAACAGCAGTACAGAGTATGAAAAGACAATGCGGAAAAGCTGAGCTGATGTGGCGGAAGACGAAACTTGAAATTCACTATAGAATCTATAAAGACAGCCTTCATGCTTTCAATGTGGAACTAGCCACAGCTAGACAAACCTTCTTGTCAAACCTTATAAACAGTCACTTAAACAACACTCGCACTCTTCTTGCTACTGTTGAGAGACTGACAAACCCCCCCAAGTCAGATTCCCAGTGAAATGCTCTCCGACAGCAAGTGCAATGAGTTTGCTTCCTTCTTTTCTGAGAATATCAATAATATCAGAAAGGCGATTGGCACATCCTCAAGTTATGCAGAGATCAGACAGATTCAACCGCAGTTTCAAAAAGAAGTTACCATGTCTGTTTTTGGAGCAATTGATAGCAAAATTTTGGAAGAAATAGTACAGCACCTTAAATCGTCAACCTGCTATCTTGACACACTTCCCACATCTTTTTTCAAAAGTGTGCTTAACTGTTTAGAAGCAGATCTCTTAGAAGTTGTGAATGCCTCTTAGAACTTTTCCAAACTCCCTGAAAACTACAGTTGTTAAGCCCCTTCTGAAAAAGAGCAATCTTGATAACACCATATTGAGCAACTATAGACCAATATCAAATCTTCCTTTTATAGGCAAGATTATTGAAAAGGTAGTTTTTAATAAGCTGAACAACTACTTAAACTCAAATAGATACCTGGACAATTTTCAATCTGGTTTCCGACCGCATGACAGCACAGAGACAGTGCTCATTAAGATAATATTTAAGTAATGGTCTCCTCACCGGCCTTCCCAAGAAGACTATTAGACAGCTGCAGCTCATCCAGAACGCTGCTGCCAGGATTCTGACTAGAACCAGAAAATATGAGCATATCACACCAGTCCTCAGGTCCTTACACTGGCTTCCAGTTATATTTAGGATTGATTTGAAAGTACTTTTACTCGTTTATACATCAGTCAATGGCCTAGGACCTAAATACATTGCAGATATGCTCACTGAATATAAGCCTAACAGACCACTCAGATCATTAGTATCGAGTCAGTTAGAAATACCAAGGGTTCACACAAAATAAGGGGAGTCCGCTTTTAGCTATTATGCCGTCTGCAGTTGGAATCAGCTTCCAGAAGAGATGTCACGAATCCGGTCTATAAACTTCCGTTCACTCACCACCAGAGGTCACCCGCTCTCCACATGGACTCTCACACTACACAGACTGTTACACATCACCCTGGACTACATTTCCCATGCTCCATTGCACTAATCACAAGCTCACCTGAAACCAATCACACACAGCTGCTACCAATAACACACACTATATAAATTGGACTCACACCACCATTCAATGCCGAGTATTGTCTGGGTTTATCGCTCTACAAGTGATAGCACTTTACGGAGCCAATTCCCTGTCTTAGTTTCTAGTTCCTAGTTTCAGTTCCTAGTTCTAGTCTTAGTCTAGTCTCATTGTGTTTCCTGATTTCCTGGTTTCTGATTCTTGCCCGCGTATCTTGGATTTACCTTTTGCCTTGCTGTTTCAGACTGTGTTTGCCCCTCGCCTGGACTATTGCTCTCATTTACGGATTACCTTTCTTGTCAAGCCCTCTGGATAACGTTCGCTGTCGTCTGACTCAAGCCCGTTTTGGATTGCTCTTTTGTCTTGCCTGTGCCATACCTGTTTGCTGTTGTTCAACCCTGCCTGTGTTTTTTGACCACGTTTATTAATAAAAGCTTGCATATGGATCCGCACGCCTCTCGTCTCATCAGCTCCGTTACAAGAGATCAGATGTGCTAAAACATTAGCCACATTTAAATCCAGACTCAAAACTAATCTGTTTAACTGTGCATTTATTGAATGAGCACTGTGCTACATCCGAACTGATTGCACTGTATTTTATATATACTCACTTTCTATTTTTAACTGTTTTAAATTCATTTTAAATCAAATTTTAAATGATTTTAAAAGTTTTTAAATTCCTTGTTTTATTGTTGTGATTATTTTTTTATTATTTTACTTCCTTTTATGTAAAACACTTTGAATTACCATTGTGTATGAAATGTGCTATATAAACAAACTTGCCTTGCCTTGGTTTCCTAAAACACCAGTGTGAATGTAATTTAGACTGAGACAGTATACCACAAATTAAAAGAGGGTTGCGTCCCCTTTGAAGTCCCCTTTTCAATTCACTGACTTTTTTCTGACTAAAGTTTTCTTAGTTAAAGGGGTCATATGATGCTATTTTAAAGATCATTATTTGGTGTATTTGGTGTAACAGAATATGTTGACATGCTTTAATGTTCAAAAAACATTATTTTTCAAATACTGTACATTATTGTAGGTCCTCTATGCCCCGCCTATCTCAAACACTTAGTTTTCAACAAAGCCCCCTCCTTTGACAAGCGCAGTCTGCTCTGATTGGTCAGCTGACCCAGTGCATTGTGATTGGTCGAACACTGCAAGTACGCGTCGGAAATGTAATGCCCCTTACCATAATCGCGAGCGTCAGCTTTCAAAGTAAATATCAAGACAGTTAATAATGTCGTTAGTTTTACCATCAGTTTAAGCCCGAAAGGGCAACAGAGTCGCGTGACAGACACACTGATGATGCAGTACACACACACACACACATGACGCGTTACTCTGCGCTGCACAAAACTCCGCATTTGAACAGTTAATAGCAAATACTTAAACTAGTAAAAAAACATACGTCCAGTAGCTGATTCAGAAGCGCCAGATTGTCATAGCAAAGTCGGAATTGACTCTTTTTTCTTTTTAGAAATAGCCTTTGTGCACAGCCAGCCTTGTACTCTTCTAGGTTCAAAAAAACTGTCGTCCATAAAATGCGTTGCACAAATTCGAACATCTGGGTTGTGCTGTTCTGTTGTAAATAAATCTTAACCAATGATTCCTAATTGCATCTACTTCCGGAAGGCCAAATAAAGTGCTTTTGCTTTCGCACTGAATCACACAGCGTCTCCCTGACATGGCTGCATCAACACTACCGTGGTTCCTGAAACCACGCCTTCTTTCTTTGCGTGCACATTTGGGCGGCATTATGCTAATATTTCCACATAGTGACCTAGATATGTGGGGGCGTGTTAGAACGAGCCGTTTTAGGTAGGCGTGGCTGACACTTAACTTTTATAAAGAATATCTCTTTGGATTTGAGACTTTAGTCTTTGCAACTTTACAGATCTTCTTTATGCACCAAGAGCTTGTAACACTCCAAAGAGAAAGGAAAACTTGAAATCGCATCATATGACCCCTTTAAGCACATGGGTTGGAACTCTTATCTAATATTGACCGTAATATTCTTTACATTTTATTAAAGATTTATTATTATAATGCTTAGTCTCATCACAGTTCTTCAGTCACATGGCAATACATTAATCTTACTAGGAACAAAAAGTGTAATACCTGGTATAAGGATAGTTTTAAGTGGCCGAACCTCCACACCCTGTGTTGGGTACTGCAAAGGGTTGTTAGCTTCAGCTACAATCAGCAGATCAGCAGGGGTCTGTGACCTATACAAACCAGGGTTACTATCCTTGACTAAAACTAAAACCATAAAAAGACTGTTTTCAAGATCAGACATTCTCTGCATATATAGAATTAATTTCATAACTTTTATCCCGTTGAAAAAAACAGCATATGCTGGTTAGGTATGTTTTGAAGCATGGTAGCTGGTGAGCTGGTTTAAGCTGGACGGTATGGCCAAAAAATTATCAAGATGTGTTTTCATATCAGTCGATATCGATAATTATCATGATAAATGTCAAATTTGTATTTCTTTCAAGTTTAAAGGCAGATTTTTGCTCCAATGTGAAAGTTGTAAAAACCAGACAGTTAATTGTGGTTTTAAACTATTCTTTATGGTCAGAACACGACAAACATTTTTCTTTAACAAAATAAATATCTTAATAGAAAAAAAAGAATGAGTAATATTACCTACAATATTCTCCTCTTGATGCCTTCCTGCCTTAGAATGCTGCCTCCGAAGGCAGCATTTTAGAGTTTTCAGACGCAGCCATTGAGAAACGACTTTTGATCTGAGTTGATAAACGGTCCGAGTGATGCGCTTCAAATTCCGCCTTTGCCTCATAAACATTATATCTAAAATGTATCGAATTCTTGTTATCGTTTATCGAGGAAATTTATATCGGGTGATAATTATTGTTATCGATTTATCGCCCAGCCCTATCACAAAATCAGGCTTGTGCTTTGTGTAAGCTATTGTGCAACAATTGCCCCATTGTAAAAACAAAAGTACACTGCATGATCAAACATTTGGGTGAGATAATTCTATATTTTTGTAGAATGTCTAAAAAATAAACCCCCCTCCACCCCTCAAATTATGATGAGGAAATCTCTCTCTCTCTTTGAAGGCCTTTTTTATTTAAAAAATGTTTTTTATGTGCCTTTTCTGTTTGCTTAAGAGGCATTTGTAAACTTCAGTACTGAAGTTCAGCAGTAATAAAATAACTTGAAATGTTCAGCATCCTTATTTTGCACCAAATTGTAGAGAGAAGTAACAGTATCGATAAGCAGTATCAGTATCGATATCTATATCAATAAAATGTAAATGATACTTATCCCTAGTCCTAAGTTAGTTATGAGCTGGTCCTGAACAGGAGCTAGTTGCTTTGGACCAGCACACGACCTGCTTAAACCAGCTGTAGCGTCTGCGTAGGATCATGCTGGAGTGTTGGACTGTTTATGGCTTAAAAGACCCTTTTAGCCTTTTGACATTTGCATATAAATTACAGTTCTGGTCAGAGATGTTACTTGTATAGGGGTTGTAAATTGCCAAATGGTTCCTCGCCGTCAAAGAAGATTAGAACCAGCCCCCACGAGCATCCTGCAATCTGAGTTCAAACACATTCCACGGAAAGCTGGAATGGCCAAACGAACACACACACACACACACCCAAACTAACACACACACACACATAAACACATTTCTTTATTTTAGACTATAATTAATCAGTTATAATTGTATCTGGTATATGCATGTGGTGTGTACATTCCCTTGTTAGATTAGATGAGTTACCACTCGTTATTTGTATTAGTTAAAGCCATAAAACACTTATATTCAGGTGTATGTGTGTATCTTTGGTTTAAACTATTCCAGATTATTGTTTCTTGGTATCAATATTACCTGTTTTTCATTCCTCGGACAATGACGTACAGTATGTGATTGTGAAACGCATCATATGACTCGCACGATATTTTGGGTTAAAACCACGGATGTTCCAGACCGGCCATAAAGCATGCAAATGAGCCATAAAACAAGAGACAAAGACGATTCTCCCGCTCAAAATCCATGTCTCTCATTGGTCAGAACACACAGAATAGGAACTCTAAAAAACGATAAGCCCAAAATAACTTGTGCTCAGAAAACTTCTTCTTCGTTTGAGACAACACCTTTCAGGACTCTCAAGACCTTCCTCTTGAGTTTTATTTTCCGGCAGTTTTTACTTTCAAGTAACGTTAGTCGCTGTGGACTTCTTCTTCAGAGGAACCAGAAGTAAAAACTTCCAGCTGACTCCTCACGAACTCATCAAAAGAGCTCCGTTATCTACCGCATCAGGACTCTTCTTCAGCAATCGAACCCAATGCAAGTAACCGCTTAAAATTATTTAGATGCGTGTTTAAGTTTCAGTCCCTTTTTAAGGTGATTTTTGGATTCTTTGATGATTTTCCATGGTTGTGGTTAAGTGATGTGAAATACTGCCATTCTTTCCTATTCTCTATCTTTTCCTTACTTTGTTTCATTCTGTATATATATGTTTTAGTTAGTTATATGTTAGATATAGTTTTCAGTTATTAAATCCCTTATATTCACAATGAATTGTCTCTGTTTGCTGCTCACAGTTCGAAGTCAATGAATGTTTGAACCCTTGCTACATTTTGCTAAGAATTACTGCTAGCACTGTACAAAGGAGGACAGTTTATTGTTCCGTGGCCAGAAAATAAATATTCCTTGAATTGATAAATGATTATATTGTCTGCTCGGTGGACGGACAGATCAAATAATTGTAATATTGATTCTGCTACAGTTAATTCGAAGATATAATCTAAATATTTATTATGGATCATAACCAGTTATGATTCGTCATAAATATTCCCCTTTTTAGAGCTAATAAATAATAATAAACGTTACACAGCTAAGGACCGGCTTAAACCAGCTCATGACCAACTAAGGACCAGCTTAAACCAGTTCAAACCAGCTGCCATGCTTCAAAACATACCTAACCAGAATATGCAGATTTTTTTCATCAGGGATATGGATCTATAAACCAAACAACTGAGCATTGGCACTGGCATAAAATGATTAAATGCACCTCATTTGGAAGCTCTGATATTCTTTGGCGCGCCGTTTCTTCATCTCATGGAGCTGGGAGGCCTGGAAGGCAGTGTGCAGGGGATGGGCAGACACTCTAGGGAACAACAGCTGAGCAAAGGGCAGGTTGACCCCTCTGCTCTCTCCTTCACAAACACACCCGTTGCGAGCCAAAAGCCTTGTGGAAGAGGAGGAGAGTTATCACATGATCAATCTGTCTGTTTTTGACCGGAAGGAAAATGTTTGCATCCTCCTGAGGTGACAGTAGACAGTCTCTGTGTATAAATGTAAAAATACATAAAAGATTAACAGGACATCAATATTTTTAACAAAATGAATTCATGTACAGAATTTAAAGTGATGTTTAGAGATAAGTAGTAGATTTATGAACAACTTTAAAAGTTTATGGTCATTTAAATTTTTATTTTTGAAGAGAAATGAATTATTGTATACAACAAGGATTACATTAAATTGATTAAAATTACAGTAAAAACATTTATAATGTTATGAAATGTTTCTATTTCAAATAAAATAAATAAATAAATAAAATTGTGTTCTTTTCAACTTTCTATTCATCAAAAGAATCCTGAAAAAAATGTATTGGGCTTGCACAAAAACATTAAGATGTTAATGTTTATTAATAGAATAATAATGTTTCCGAAGGATCTAATGACACTGAAAACTGGAGTAATGGCTGCTGAAAATTCAGCTTTGCCATCACAAAAATAAGCTACATTTTAAAGTATATTAAAATAGAATAGTTATTTCCAATGTAATAATATTATATGAGTTTTACTATATATTTGATCAAATAAATGCAGCTTTGGTGAGCATAAGAAATGTTTTTAAAATCTTTATAAAATCTTACCAATCCCAAACTTTTGAAAAGTACAAATTACATGAACGTTTGAGATAAGTAGTTGTTAAAAGTTGCAGGCGTTTTACAACCATCTCCAATCTCCCTCTACTTGAACTGATGTTTTATAGAAAAACATGAAACATCCGCTTGTGAAGACTAACTGACCTGGCCACACTCTCCCTCACTCTGTAAGGGATGGTGCTAGTGCTGGGATCCGGTTCAGGAAGTCTCTCCTCCAGCAGCCGCTCAGCTCCAGGACCCGGTCTGTACCGGACATCCACAGTGCTATAGATCCGCGTGGGCCAGGAATGTAGCACTGCCAAAACCAGCACCACTGATGCTACCAGAGCTAACAGCACAGTCTTACGTAGGGAATGCATGCTACAAGCTACAGCACAAACAGAAACACAACACTGTTGAAACTTCACTCAGTTAATTATTAAAGTTATTATTATTATTATTATTATTATTTAAGTTATCAAATTAATTTGTACAAAAATGGTAGGGGTTCTTCATGTGAAACTTCACAAATTAGCTTTCTCTTAAATCAAATAATGAAGCATTAACTTCAATTCAATTTCCTAATTAGCCTTCATTTGATTTCCCTTCACTTAATAACAATGTGAAGGGAAGCACTCTAGTAATTCCACAAACACTTCATAATACACTCATTCTATCCAATCAGAGCGAGAGGTACAGCAAGTTTCCATTACTTCTCCTAAAGGTCCATGGTACTGGTTGGCTCAATCTTGATGTGACTGACAGTAGCTGATAAGGCTGATGGAGGGCTCTCTCCATCTGCTGAGGTAGAAAAAAAACCTTAGTCATGTCAGTTGTAGGCATTCATTTACTGTATTCATTACTGTACATAAAACAGTCCAATGTACACTCTTATAAAAAGGTTCTTTATTGGGATTTGTGGTTCCAGGATGAAACTTTAACATCAATGAAATCTTTCCACTGCACAAAAGGTTTTTTTTTATACTGCGAAAAAACCCTTTTGCAACCTTTATTTCTAAGAATGTACTCATTCACTATATTCATAAGACCTCTGAATGCAATAGGTCTACACATTTTATGAGGAAAAGGACCAAATGCCAGGCTTTATCATTTGAAAATGTTGACACAGTAGTGGCCATTTCAAAAATTATTATACACAAGATATGGTTTCATTGAAACAACGCAACATAAACATGTTTTATGGGAAACTAACTCTGATACAGCCATAAAGACATAATGGTCTAAACTTTACTGATAACCAGTGCTAAGGGCTTTCCTGACTGACCAACGGACTGACACAGCTTTCCTGTGAGACCACTATTAGTTACATCATCATCAAGGCTTGTGAAGCTCTAAGCACACCGACCAGTGGAGAGTAGGGGTGGTTTGGATTAGAAGTATATACAGTGGGTACGGAAAGTATTCAGACCCCCTTA